ACAGACGAACTATATAACTTTAGCATATACAATGAAGAAATTGGAAAAAGTTAGAGATTTTGTATACCTTGGTTCAGTCATGCATCCAAATGGAGACTGTAGCCAGGAAATCGGAAAACTGAGACCAGGAAGGGAAAATATTGACACTGAGGCTGTCCTACTTTGGCACATCATGAGAAGGCAGGATTCACTGGAACAGATAATAATCCCGGGAAAGGTGGAAGGCAGCAGGAGAAGAGGAAGACCAAATACGAAATGGACTGATTCCCTAAAGGAAGTCGCATGCTTGAGTCTGCAAGAGCTGAGGAGGACTGTTGAGAACAAGGGATGTATATCTCTCATTCATAGGGCTGCTATGAGTCGGAGATGATTTGACAGCACATAACAACAAAACATGTATATCTCTCATTCATAGGGCTGCTGTGAGTTGGAGATGATTTGACAGCACATAACAACAAAATGTAAACTTTGGTTGTTTCTAAGATTTTTTTAAAAAAACCCAGGCCTTAAGAAGGCCCCTGAACCAGTAGGAATTGCAAGGAGGTAAAATTCAGTCATGGCTGGTATTTTCTCTAGTGAAAATTCTTCTCAGAGATTCCTCTGACCTGGAAAGCCTGACAATTTCACAAGTTCTCCTTGGACGTTATGTGTAAAATCTGGCATTTCATAGACTGAATACAACTTCACCTTACCCACCAAAATTGTAGAGAGAAGCCCTCCTTCTCCAGTCCATGAAGACCCCATGCCTAGGAGGGAATGAGAGCCACCACTTATATTTCCTTTCTTCTCAAGCAACTTATGAAGCACTGAATTAGCCTCTTCACACTGGCATATAATGGTATATAGTCCCCTGATAATACTGTTTGGCACAGAAAAAAAAACCTTGTCTGCTTATGTTTCTTCTTAAAGTGATCCCTCCTTCTCTTTTAAGAGCTGGCCATATCTTTCTGACACAGGTCTAGGGCATGCAGTCTTTTTGGGATGCTGCATTGCAATGTAAAATAGCTCTTTGTTCTGCCTTCATGGAACAAAGTAGAGATGGGAATATTCAAATACAATGGTGCCTCGCAAGACGAATGCCTCACCGGATGAAAAACTCACAAGACAAAGGCGTTTTGCAATTGTTGTGGTGACGTGCAAGAAGGCTTTTTCTATGGCCGTGTTTCACAAGATGATTTTTGTCTGCAAGAGCGATGCCTCTCAAGACAAAAATAATTCATTCATCAGCTTTTGCAAGATGAAAATTTCACAATTGCTACTCGCGGAATGAATTACTTTTGTCTTGCGAGGCACCACTGTACGAATATCCCAGTGCAGCTGGGGGCCAGACCATCCACTGGCCTTGCTCATCCTTCCAATCACTTCCAGAGCCCCTCTCTCTTCCCACTCAGCTGACCACTCAGTAGCCATGCAAGGACATTCATCCTCACTCCCCCTGCTTGGAGTGGCTAGCAGAACAGGAAGAGAGTGTCACTCCGGGAGTGATTGGAAGGATGAGGGAAAGTAGCCATGCAAGGACACTCGTCCTCACTCCCCCTGCCTGGAGTGGCTAGCAGAACGGGAAGAGAGTGGCACTCCGGGAGTGATTGGAAGGATGAGGGAGGCCGCCACTGCTGGCAGATGCATGAGTGGATGATCCAACCTCAGGGGCCGGACCCTTGTTACGTCCAGCTGCGCAAGGATAATGCCCCAGTCTCTAGTACCAAGAGTCAAAATAGATTGCAATGAAGATAATGACCTTTTAAGCACTATTCAGACTACACCAAATTTCATAGTGTGACGAGGCCCAGTGACAAAACACACAGTGCAACAGCCACTACTGCCACATTTTAAGAGAAGAGCAGGTGAGATATAGACAAGCTACATACTTCTACCACACAGCCCATTACTTCAAAGTAATGTACAGTAGATGTCATATTGTAGCAGGTGTCAAGACTGCAAAGAAGTCATTAGAAGAGGGCCCCTGGGATGGACAAACGGATCTATTTATATTCCACATCCCTTTTGTACAGGTTCAGTCATAATACTGTTGCTGGTTAGAACATTCTAGCAAACCTTGTAATCTAGTCAACCATATGTATCCTCTTCTTTTTTTATTTAATGGGATTTTTTTTTCTTCAGCACAAGCTATTCCAAATCCCCATTAGATGGCCCTGTCACACGTGTGTGCAGCTGTTTGTGGAAATAACCAACACAATCTGAGGGTGGTTTAAATTCAGTATAAGCCTAGCAAAATTAGTAAAATTAATTTATATCTTGGTGATTGCTAAAACCAAAAGTAAAGACTCTGTATTTCATACATGCACACACAGATACATTTCCAGAAACCATAATGGATTAGACCACCTTCTGCATTTTTAAAAAAGTTGGAATCTATCAAGATATTTCTGGCTCTGGCAGTTGAAGGAGATGACTATTTCCATTACTCAGACTCCTGACAATTTTCCTGTTAGTCAGTAAAGATATTTCAAGAATAGAACAATAATGTGCAATAGTGCTAGTGTTAGGAAAATATCAATTTTCATTTGTAATCTATGTAAATTATTAAAGTAAAGCTCTAAGCGACAATATAAGCCAAAGAGAAATGACACCACTATATCGCATCTGGCCCCCTGCTGAGGTCTTCCAAGTCACATTTGTTTTGGTTACTGACAAAAAAACAAGTTTTGTTACGTGACCTGTGGAAAGGGGAGGCGTAGAGACTGTTTTTCTCTTGCCTCATGCATCATCTATGGATCTGACGGCTAAATTCTGGTTTCAGACGCTTTTATTGTCAGTGATGGATAGTGATGATTTATGAAGCAGAAAAGGCAAAACCTGACTTTTTTCACCAGCCGATGAGGCTTCAAGGTAGAGAAATTGCATTTAGGGTTGTAGATGCACCAAATTTGATATGGAAGACATTGATATAGAATAAATAAACAACATGACCATTTTGCTTATGCAATTGGTATCTTGAGCACTTCAACTTTCAGGAAGATAAGAGTTTAAAAAAAAAAAACAAGGAAGAAAAGGAACTTGCCTTTATATATCCAATATCTTATCAAAGGCTGCACTGTGTGGTCTCTTTCTATATTACAGTGAAGACATGTAAAGATGTGATGGATCAGATTCGAAAGCATGTGTTACAATCCTCTGGAAAGCATTCTTGTTTCAGAATGCTGATGACTTACGGCATGCTTCTCTATACAAACCTAGCATATCAGAAGGGTTCTGGCCTAATCTTGATATACTAGTTTTCCATAAAGCATCAGGAAGCACTCCTACGTATGACTCTCCAGGAGCTCTCTCAGATGGTGCCATTTGTGGATAGATGTTTCTATCCTATCAGAGAAAACAAATTGTTTCTTCATCCTCTGAAGATGCCGGCCACAGAGACTGGCGAAATGTTAGGAAGAACAACCTTCAGAACACGGCTAAAGAGCCCAAAAACCCACAGCACCCAGTGTTTCTATCACGTTGGATGGAGCAAATTGTATGTGTCATGTTGGGGGAGAGGGAGAGAGATTAGCCACCACTGGTGGTGCATTGACCCAGAACAGGACAACTGAGCAGCCCAAGCATCTGTATTTGCATATTGTTCTACAATGTAAAGCAGCAGAGTATGAAGACACAAAAGATCACACTAGAAGGAATGTTGAGAAAACATGCAAGATATGCTTGGTTGGATTCTTTTCCAGGCACTTCATCACTCATAATCTATCTATTAATTTACGCTCACAGACAGTGATCTGCTTCATGGAGTTCATTCTTTTCCAGGCACTTCATCACTCATTATCTATTAATTTACACTCACAGACAGTGATCTGCTTCATGGAGTTTTTGAATCCTGGTAAGCCTTCCAGAATATCTGCTGAAATAAATGTGAGATAAACCTGTTAAATGGACTGTATTAAAGGTATTGATAGCAGCGCTCAGGCCAGATTGGTTCATCTGGTTCAGTGCAGTCCGTAATGATGGGCATCTGCTCTCCATATTTTCTGGAGGTTCCCCCCCCCAGCTGTACCTGAAAGTATCAGAACATGAACTTGGGACTGTTGGCATGCAAAGCAAGGATTGATGTCTCAAATGCAGCCCTTCTCCAACTTGTAGAAGATGTTCAGTTAAAAGTGGACAGTAGAGATGGGGATGAATTTTTTTAAAAAAATGGCAATTCATTTTGATAGATAGGGACAAATTTTTTAAAAAATGGCAATTCATTTTGATCCGTTATTCGTCAAGGTTAACAAATCAACAAGGAAGTATTCATCAAGCCGTTTTCATCCTGATTTAAAATTTTACAAATACGGATCAACGAATATATGATGAATAGGCTACATTCGTCAGAAAGACTAATCTGTTTTTATATTTGTCCCCATCTCTAGTGGACAGAGTTGAATCATGAAACTCTCTTGTCATATGTGGTTTTTTCCTAAGCTACATCACAGGCTCCGTTAATGTTAGGGAGCTCAGGTATTTGTATTAGATGGTGTTAGCTTTTATAGACCCCTCTGAGTCTCTAATTAACTTTTTAGTGCTCAGGCCAATTTTAAATATTTTTTAAAAAAAGTCTCACTGATTTTCCCACAGCAGCAGACTCACCTATGCTGTGTATATATAGTAAGGATATATATTTATTTTTTTTGTTTCTGAGTGCATATGCTAGAATTGACATTCTCAGCCCTATCCAGTGTAAGCAAAAAAGGAGAATTCTACTGAAAAATCACAATCTCCCAACCCAGATTCTATGCTTTGCTTCCATGTAGCTGGGTTTCTTCTTGGTCCTTATTAACTCCAACATGGTCTGAGCAGCTGATATGCCAATGAATTGCAATTATCTTAACCATTTTTAAAGTCTAAAATATGTGATTTGGCATTTTTGGCATTTTTGTAGATTCTGCTGCCTTGTTCATTGGACCACAACCCCATGCAGTTATAAACTTTGTTAGATCAACAATGATTATGAAACTGTATTTTGCTGCCTGGGTATATCTGAATTCCCTGTCCTTTTATGCACACAGGGTGGAGTGAATGGCTTGACAGGAGAACTGGAGTTTGCAGAAAACGGTGGGAATCCCAATGTTCTTTTCGAAATTCTGGGCACCAACTATGGAGAAGAACTGAGCAGAGGTATCCGAAAGGTGAGACAATTATTTTCATATGTTTTTTGAGTGTTGGTAAGAGGGAGTATTTCCTGATTGCGTTTTGAAGGAAATTGACTTAGGTTGACTGATTTGACGAAAATCATTGGCTTTCACAAACGTTAAGATAGCCGCTTACAATTCAACAGAAAAAGAGGTTGGGCATCGGGTGCAACACTGCCTTGAATACATCCATGCATGCTAATTTATATGTATAGATGGAAAAGTAGAACAAGATTCAACTGAACAAGAATTGCAGTACATCTCACTTGAGTGGGGAAAGACTGTGAGAAGTTGACCTGGGTGCCTGCTGAGTCTCCTCTCCAGGTGGTCACTGTGGATGAGCAACTTCATGGTCCTTGATCTCCTTTCTAATGGGCGTTCATCTTTTGATCAGTGTTGGATTAGGGCTCTCATTGGCCTAGGCAGCATTTCAAATGGAAAGCACCTTCAAAAGGCCTGTCCTCCCTGAAAGAGATCGGGGGGGAGGGGGGAGGGAGACAAACTATCACTTTGTCAAGAACAATCATTTTCTTTCCCAGCAACCTACTGGGTGAGGAGAAAAAAGGAGGAAGGGTTTGTCGGAGAGAGATGGGGGAGAGAGAGAAGGGTGTGGGATACATTTAGTGTAGTTTTGTTTTGTTTCTTAGTGTTGATAATTAAAGTTCTCTACAAAACTACATATTCCAGTAAATTAACCTCACTTTTTTGCATTTTTTTCCTCATTTCAAATAAGTATAATATGGAAAATAAAAAGGTGTGGAGAATAGATGTTAGATACTGTGAGGGAATGCATCTCTTCCATGGGAATGGGGAACAAAAAAGACATTCTAATGTTATCCTGTCTATCCAAAGAAAGTCACAGGCAGCTTATTTGTTTCATATAGTTTTATATTAAACATCTTTAACACAAGACTATACATGACTTGTTGCAAGGGTGTTTTTTTGTCACTTTTGCCACTTTGCTCCACACAATCTTAAAGGTTGCAACAAGAAGGGGAATCCATATTCTGCAAAGGGGCAATGGAGGACATCAAATCCTAACCAGTCCTAACATGCCGTCTCTAATATTCTTATCCATCCTGTGCAGCCTCATGAACTGTCTCTGTCTCTCTTTGTGGCAATGGCATTGCTAGGTTGGAGTCAGTTTGGCTCCTTGGGCATCTGATTCCAATCTGAAAGCTCCCTGTCCACTCTTTTAACCCCTGAGTCACAAGGTGGTTCTCTTTTCTCCTCTGTCAAATTTTCAGTGAGGGAATAGGGCAGGATGCAGCTGGAAGGAATAGCTGTCATCAGATACAGGGAATCTGGGGGGGAAAATAGACCATGGATTTAGGCTCTTGTCATTTGGCTGTATCTGCTCAGCTCTCCCGTTCTTTGCTTTCCCCCTCTACCTCACAAAACACCTGTACTGAATCCTAGACATATTTATCTGAAAGTAAGACCTGTCTCACTGTCACTTACTTATAAATAGGCATGCCTAAGTTGTGGTTGATTAAATATGAATCAAGTTGGAGGAATTATGTAAGTCTGCCCATGCTTCTTCTCCCCCCCGGCTTACTGCCTCTGCCTCTTTTATATGAGCAGAAAACCCTCTCTGCTGGCTAATTACTTACTTACTTACTTACTTTACTTTATTTTATTTAAAATATTTTTACTACATCTTTCTCCTTAAAAAGGATTCAAAGACAATATTTAAAGTTGAAGACAATGAGTATACAATGATGGTTAACATCATTAAAAGACAATATTTAAAGCTAAGAACAATGAGTATAAAGAGGCATCTTATGTCATTAAAAGGCAATATTAGAACTAGGAACAGTATGTATACAAATATTAAAGAGAAGGGAAAAAATCACTCTGAGAAATGGAAAACCCAAAAAATGGTAAACACAATAACAATCTCTCTAAAAATTAAACGCAAGTAGCTAGTTATTGAGGGAAGGCTTGCCTGAAGAGAAAGGTCTTTGCCTGCTGCTTCCCACTCTCTTCCATTTTCTGTCTCTCAAATTCTGTCTTTCTCCTGCAAAGTGGGTGTGAGTCAAGATAATGTCCCAGATGGGGCATTCACCCAGGGTCCATCATTTGTTCATGGCAGGGTCCTGTCATCATTCAGAAGGACGTTGAGGCAGAACATTCCCATTGGCCAAAGCCCATCAACTCACAGATTCAGTTGTTGTTACGAGCTATCAAGATATCCCAGACTCATGGCAAACAAATAAACAATCTCCAAAATGTCCTGTCCTCAACAGCCCTGCTCAGCTCTTGCAAACTCAGGTCTATGGTTTCCTTTAGTGAGTCGATCCATCTGATATTTGGTTTTCATCTTTTCCTGCTGCCTTCAACCTTTCCCCACATTATTGTCTTTTCCAGAGAATCCTGCCTTCTCATGATGTGCCAAAGTAGGCAAACCTCAGTTTCAACATTTTTGCCTCCATTTTGGTTCAGGTTTGATTTGATCTAGGACCCACTTGTTCATCTTTCCGGCAGTCCAGAGTATCCATAAAGCTCTTCTCCAGCATATTTCAAACAAATCAATCTTCGTCCCACCAGAATTTTTTTTTACAGTCCAGATTTCACATCCATTCACCCAAAGGCTGAAATGTGTACCTTTGCCCTGCTATAATTCCTTTGGTCTTGGAACCGATTTATCCTACTATTAGATTTTTCAGGTTTTTCTGTTATATTACAAAAGACAAAACATACTTCAAGGTTATTTAAGATGGTACAAAAGATTGTAGAGGAAAATTTCCTGTTGTGATGACATTAGCAGCCTTTTTTTCCTGAGTGATCTGACCTGGTACAAAAGGTTTAGACTTCCATTATTATCCAAGACAGAGAAAGACAGATTACATGTTTTGGGGATCTGTCCCCATCTAGTAAGTCAAAGGTAGTAATAGTCCTTTCTGAAAATTATTATTATAAACAGTGGGATTTCTTGGCATGATGCATAGGGCAACACTATCATCTCTCATTGAAGTGGGGTCACACTGCATGTTTTATTTTTGGAGTACACAAAAATAGGAATACAGCCTAGGGTGATGTGAAGTCAACAGAACTCTGCTGCTCTCATTAATCTGTTTTCATGCCAAGGCAAAAGAAGTGCTAAAAAAGAATTAGCAGAGGTCCCCGCAAGTCTTCAAATGCTGCTTCATGTTGTGTCTCTGTAGGTCCAACTCCTGACTTTTAAAATTAATTTTGGTCACATTTCCCAGCATTTTATGGCTTCTAATTTTTGTGTGGAAAATCCTCTGGCTGAGAGGTCTTCCAGCTGTGCCTCCTCTGACCAAATAAAGCCAGAAAAATCAGGTGGCTGTATTTGTTGTTACTGTTGTTGTCACATTTAAAATGTCAGTGGACCTGAATAAAACTTCTGTTTTGTATGTTCTCCAGAAGTGGTGAAAAAGGAAGTAGGCTCATTTTATGAGAGGTACATATGCTCCCTCTAGCACCAGAGAGAGTATGTTTCTATACATCAGTTACTTAGGCATATAGAGAACAGAGTACTCTTGTGGTCATGTCTTCCTTGTGGTCTTCCAATAGGCCATTACGGGAACAGAATGTTGGTAGTAGATAGGCTTTTGATTAGATCCACAGTATTGTCTTGTGGTCTTGTCAATTATTTGCACTTCTCCTGCACTTCAGATTTTCCTGCAAAAGAGGTAGATGTGCATTCTTCTGACATAAGAGTAAAACACATGTTGGGGTGGGCGGGCAACTATATTGACAAATAATTCTGGAAGTGCTGCAAAATTGGGACAGATTCCTATTATTTTCTATTGGCTACATGACGTACAAGTCAATGCAAATCAGACTGGAGCTTTTCTCTCAGCCCACACTTTTTCCTCTGTTGCTGGGGCATCTGCCTTTTTTTGGCAAGTAAATAGTTTCTTATTGGTTCAGGTAGTGTAATTGTTTGGCCCAATGTAGAAAAACATTTGCAGGGGAGAAGTAAATTGCTAAATCAGCCTTCTAAAGTGCAGAAAGGCCAAACTAGATGGTTCCCAAAGGAGGTCAGAGAAGGGCATTATAAGTTATATTCTTAGCCCCATTCCACCCTGTGCCATATGCAAAGAGTGCCTTCATTGAGAGCAAGCAGTGTTTCAAAGCCCAGGACTCTGTTCTCTGGCTGCTTCAGTTGTAAAGGGTTAAGTTCCCAGTGCTCCTGAGTATCACTTCACCTCAAATATATTCACTAATTATGCCATTTCCTTGGGTTTGCTTGTTGTTTGGTGTTTTTTTCCCCCCTTTTCCTTTTGGTTTGATGCTTGTACCTAGGCACTAGAGCATCTAGGAAAGAACAGAGAGAGAGGAGGAAATTGTTAATCAGCACTTCTTTATAGCTTATAAAGGTAGCTCTGCTATAGTCACACCTCCTGTAAACCTGAACAGCTAAAGCAAATGCTGTCTTTAACGACCTGCAAACAAGCGTTTATTGGCAATTTCTTCTTCTTTCTCTCTTTGCTGACTTTTGTGTGGTCAGTGAATTCACCCAGGGAAACCAGACTTCCTAGACATTAATTCACAAGAGATCTATGCAGATTTTTCCAGCTGCATATTCAGAGTCTCAGTGTGGGAAATACAGATTTCTTACTTTTACATGTAAGATGAAAGGAAGAGTGAATTTGTTATCACGTGCTACAAAGTCAGTTATGGAACTCTATGCATGAGTGACCTCTGAAAGGTCACATCATTAGTAGCTCTCCTGTTCATTAGCAGCCTTATGAACTGAGGACCATGGCTTCCTTTAATGAGTCAATCCTTTAATGAGTCAATTGTTCAGTCTTTCTCTTTTCATACTTCCTTCAGCTTTTTCCTGAATGATTGACTTTTCCGTATTCAAAGTTATCATTTTTTGCTCTGGTAAAGGTAAAGGTAAAGGTAAAGGTAAAGGTAAAGGTTCCCCTTGACAATTTTTGTCCAGTCGTGTTCGACTCTAGGGGGCGGTGCTCATCCCCGTTTCCAAGCCATAGAGCCAGCATTTTTGTCCTAAGACAATC